AAATAGTTAATTTGATATTAACATTGATATATATATTTTAAATTTTTATGATATCTTTAAATTTATATTTTATTCAAAAATAAAATTATTATTGATTTCTTAAAAACACATAAAATCGTATTATAACATCGACAAAAACAAATAATAAAATAGAATATTAAAATCAAAATATGTCTTACTGCATTGTACGTGTACTCTTCTAGTATGGATGAATAACAATATTTGATGTATAAAAATGATTTTTAAAAGTATTTTTAAATATAATATAATATAATTAAAAACTATTTTATATGTCTCTTCTATTTTGGATTTTAAAAGAATTTGTTGGTCAGTCAGAGTGGCTTCGTAAAGACATAAAGATCAATGGCGTTTGGGAATGGGAGCAAGAGCAACCCAGCAATGGTTATTTGCTAACCACACATACCTTTGTGAATTGCAATGCTGTCACCTGATGCGGATCTATGAAATTATTGGATGTCGTGATTCGAATCAGATCCTACGAATCAGATCTGAAACGGGGAGATCTCTTCGCCACTGTGACTGTTGGATATCATATGCCATCTGACGCTCTCCTTTATCATCTTTTCTGTTAAATTAGTTGTTCTGATTTTGTATTAGCGCCATGAAGAAGAAGCTCGATACGCGTTTCCCTGCTGTAAGTAATTTTCCTCGCTTTTTGTTTTATGTGTGTTTTTGGCGATGCTATTATCGTAGATTATGCCTAGGGAAGATCTGTATTTCGCTTTTTAAGATTGCTGACATGTTCTTAGCTTAAAATTGATATGGGTTTTAGAACCTTGCTAAGAAAATGGCCCAGCACAAAGAGAAAAAGAGATTATTGTTGGTTTCAGAAAATATGTGAAAAGATCTTTTACCAATGTTGCATTTGAATCAGTTATGATGGTGTAGCTGTTAATTTGAATGTTTGGAACATGATTAAAGAGTAAGGTTCAGTCGTGGGTATGGAACTAGGTTGGGCTTGGTTGGGTTGGCCACTGCAGCATATACATACATTGTGTTTGGATTTGTTTCAATGTTACTTATAGAAGCTGTATCTAGTTTAATTTGCTTGTATGGTAGTGCATATCTCTAATACATATTCCCAATATGGCTCACACCAATAGCTTGGGTTTTGATCAGAACCATTAGGATAATTGTAACGTTAGGTTCAAGTTTGGTATCTTGACATCGATTTGACTAATAGGTTGGACAACCACCTTTAGTTTGTATACTTCTTTGAGCTGGGTTTTGAAGCATTTCTACACCTTGCATTTGTCTTTGTTAATTGTGTTTTGATAGTTGTACAGACTGTGGCTTATTTGTGTTCGTTCTTTACTTTTAATCTTGTTCCCATCCATGACTCCATCATGATTTGTGTCAATCGTCCAAGGGATATGATGCACCAGTTTTGCTATGGGCCATCACACCACACTATTAATCTAGTGAATTTCATTATTCATGGGCTTGGTAAAAGAAGTTTCTTTGTGACAGTACATTTACTGAATTTATGCAATTCCTAGATTGTGACCTTTAGTTGCAAAACTATCAATAATTTAACTCATTTTGAGATACATAGTACTTAGGTAATTCTGTAATTATCTCTAATAAGACAACTTTTAGGATAAATTTTTGAGCTTTTTTCTTTGTTAATAAGTATTGAGGTTCCAAGAGAAATCTTAAATGCAACACCTGGAAACAAAAGGTTTGGTGAACCAAGTTCTAAGATGTATTTTGTGTTCCCTGGCCAGACCACAAACTAAAACGATCCATTTCTATGCATTTATCAGAATTTAAGAGGATCTGGAATTTACTCTTTTTCAAGATGGAGCATCCTTTTTAGCATGTAATACAAAAAAATTCGTCTTCTTCCTAATCTACTATTGATCATTGGCATGTGGCTTTTTCATGCCCATAAAGCACACACAAAGGCCTTGTAACTTGTTAGATAAGTCTCTCTCTTTCTTATTGGTTAGGTAGCTCTCATGATGCACACATATTTTTCTGGTTTTTAGTTCATTGAAAAAAGAAAACTACTAGAGTATGGAATTTAGATAAATGATGGATAGAAAAGGAAACTTGACAGGAGATTTTGCAGGGCAAAATATTCCATTCAAAACTAGACATGCTTTACAAATGAGAGTGATAACCTTTGTAGTTTATGTCTTGGTAGCTCAAATTCCAAATTCATACAACTTATGAACTACACTTTTAACTAGCATTGAGTAATTAACCTCTAATGATTCCAATTTCCAAATGCTTACACTTTCAGTTAGGGTAGTGATCTTTTATAACTTTCTTATCGTCACCCGTAAGCTAATCAAGGTTTGTTTTTTTCCTAGTGGATTAGGAGTGTCTAATATCCTTTGTGATCAATACGAGGTTAGGAGTGTCTGGTATCCCTTGTGATAACCCAAATGTTAGTTTATGTTTGTGACTCCTTCTGTACTAATAGAGGAAAGTTGATTCTTATAACTTGTAAGTGCCCTTAAAACTCCCTTGTGAATATAGTGCTTCAAGTCGAATTTTTCTTAGTTCCATTGTAGATCATAGCACCTATCGACCTAACGTGGTCTACTTCCTCGAGTCAATATGGAAGTCAAGTTGATTCGGTTGGTGGTCAAATCAGTTGATTTGCATGAGGGACTCGGGAATACCAAAAATTGGATGTGAACATTTCGTTTGCTTAGATCATGCAACTTGTCATGATCTTTGTTGAATCATAGAGTCGAACATAATTAAGATGATAAATTGATAAACCCATAAGATTAGAGTGGATTGAATTCTTATCTAGTTCTTAGTTAGACATTCTTTTGGGTGGGTAGAATTTGTTCTAAGAGGTTTCTGTTAATAACTTGATATTTACGGTATACTGGCCAATCTTAAGTATTCTGTTACATATTAAGGCTGTTTTGGCATTTTATAAATGTGTGCACAGTTGGACACTTTTTTTTTTTTTTTGTGATACTAGGGGCTGTTTGGTTAGTTTTCCATTAGGTTATGTATGGATAAAATTGTGTTTAATTTGTCTGTATAGATAGGGAAGGTTTTTGTTTGGGAGGGATTTTTCATAGAGGGAAGGACCGTGTTTCTTAATTGGGAAGGGCAGGTGTGGAAAAAACTTGGCTTTCTGCATAAAGCTCCCCCCATAGAAGCTTACTGAATAAGTCACTTTCTATATCATTGGGGCTGTTTGGCAGTTGCTGAATGATTTATGCAGAATAGTTAAGAGGTCAGAATGGTTAAGAGGGTCAGAATGGTTAAGTGCTGAATGAAATAATGTTGTTTGGTAACTGTTCTCTGAATGATAGTAAAATTACCATTTTAACCCTTTGAATGATTTAGTACTGAATGAAATAAAGCTGTTTGGCTGATATCTGAATGAAACAATAATTTTACAAAAATAACTACAAATTTCATATTAATCCAAACAAATGTAACATTATTAGTTTGAAACAAGATTTCATATTAATCCAACCAAACATAATTTCTCGTAAACTTTTGGCTCTCGTTTTCACTGCAAGATTCTTCAACCTTCTTTTTCCTTTTTCTATTCACATTTCCATGTGCCTTTGATGTGAAATTACTATTATGGGTGCCATCTGTTCCTTTAGAAGGAACTTTGGTCTGTTGGGGAAACACAGGAACTTGGTGGCTTTGTGCAGCACCTTGGACGTTTAATTCATATGCGGAGAAGGACTTCTTGCAMCTTTGACAGTGAATAACTTTGTTAAGAACATCATCTCTATAGAATTGATACCTAACCGAACARAAAGGACAAACTGTCCAGAAAGTTGATCGATTCCCAGTTTGTCCCCGCTGTTGTGAGAACTGTAAAAGTGATAATAGCAATCTTCAAAAAAACCCATCTAAATAGTTGATCTAAACAGAAGATCTATAAACAAAAAGTTATAGCAATCTTGATGTAAAAGTGATAATAGCTTCGAGAGATGTAAATAGGGAAAAGAGGTCACCGGCGACCGGCGATGGAGCGTCGAGAAGCTGTGGAAGGTACGGCAAGTTACCTGATAAGAGGTCACCGGAGATGGAGCGTCGAGAAGCTGTGGAAGGTGCGGCAAGTTACCTGATAAGAGGTCACCGGAGATGGAGCGTCGAGAAGCTGTGGAAGGTGCGGCCGGCGACAGAGGTGTGGAAGATGGAGGTCACCGGCGATGSAGGTCACCGGCGATGGAGGTGTGGAAGATGGAGGTCACCGGCGATGTGGTGAAGGAGACGATGAGAGTGCGTTGGTAAACCTGTGGAAGGGCGATGTGGTGAAGGAGAGGATGAGAGTGGGTGGGCTGGTAAAGGTATGGAAGGGTAAAGAGGGAAAAGAAACAATCTGAATGGTTTAGCATCGATTCACCCTCAAAATGGTTAAGAGCCTTGGGTAACCATTAAGAGGCTTTTTTTTTTTTTTGCCAAACATGCCTCACCTCTGACCGATTAAGAGGCTCCCTCTTAATGTCACCATTAAGAGGGAAACAAACAGCCCCTAAGCCACTACCAAACAGTAATGTAGAGCTGACCAAATAAGCTGTGAGTCCCATTAAGCTCATTAAGCTGCTAACAAACATGCCCCAGGTCTAATAACTCCACTTGATAAATATGTTCTCTATGTGTAGATTATGGTTTGCTTCACATACACACATATATGTATAATGAGTGTACATGAGAGTTTTCTCCTTATCATCCTTGAGATGCCCCAGTCCTCGCACTATCATTGGTGAGTTTCTCATATCCTTTTGTTTCTTGGTGAGGTGCCTAGAATCTTTAGTTACCTTTTTTTGTCTTTTATGCCTTCATGTGTCCTGCGCCACATAGTGGAATACTATTGACTGAAACGAACACATCCATATCTTCTAGTGACACTAATGGGCAAAACTAACTTGAAAGGGAAATGTTAAATTTCACTTGGGACATTCCATAAAGGAAATTGCTGGAATTAGTTTAGGTCGGTAGGAACGAGGAGATACGAAATTATTTGATCTCGTTGACTAGGAATTGATCTTGATATTTATGTTCTTATATCGTTAGGTAATCATAACTATACTATGAATCAAATTTAAAAAAGCATACAGAATATTTCATGTTAACTTTTAATTTACAAATTATCTTTATTCAAGAGCTCCTAAGTGTCATGTTGCAAGTGGAGTCGCTGATCATGAATGAAAGAAATTGAGTCGTTTCTGAGCCAGTCATGGACAAGCATGATAGCACTCACTTGTGTGCTAACTCATACTCCTTAGGTCCATGTTACAGCTACATTTTCTATGGTTCTCTGTAGGTTCTCATCCCTTAATAGGTTTCTGTCACCTACATCCAAAAATCAGTTCTCCACTCTACTTGTTAAATTCACATGGAGTTCAGAATTCTTCAAAATCCTAGATTATATAAATCATCTCCCAACAGAATGGGAAAAATCATGCCTGTATCAGCAGGACTGGAGTGAGATTTCTCCAGTTCTGAGCTTATTGAATAAAATATGAGACTCAGGAGAATTGAATTTATATAAATGGGCAAAGAGAGGATATTTGGTGTGAGATAATCTAATTGAAAATCTGCTATGAAATGCAGTGATTACTTGCCTTCAGTGCCATGTCATATGTAACTACTGCCTATGTATTACTACAAAATCTTTGGATTGAGACTTTTGTTTTGACTACAGTAGCACCTAAAATGATGACAATTTTATGGGAGTTTTGTGTATGTACTGTCATCCAATAATGGTTTGCTTATGTATTTTGAGAAATAGTCATTTTAAGGATTTCTTATCTTACTAGGTAGGAAGCGGTGTAGGCGTGTAGCAAATTCAATGAACATCAATTTAGTTAGTACTTAGTACAGGAAATCACTTGTCCTGCTCTTTATGCATGACATGATTGAATTAGTGGTCATAAGATGCACCAAAGCTGTGCACAATAAGTTAATCTACCGTCTCTTAAATATGAAGTCAAATATCACTTTTTAGTGGAGATCTGTATTCTGCTGGGCATTTTCTACTGCTACTCAAAGCCTGTATTTTTGTCAAGTCTTGCTCCATTGCTCCCTTGTATTTTGTTTCTTTGATTGTTGCTTAGGTCAAAATTTGAGAAGACTTGATTGAAAGAGTATAACATGCTAAAACTACCATCATATAGCACCAAAAATGGTACCTAATTTTGTTTGTGTACCGTCATTTACAATAGTCCTGCTGATGTATTTCGAGAAAGAAGACATTCCAAGGATTTGTTATTTTACTAGGAAGTGGCCTAACAAATTCATCAGACATTAGTTTAGTTAGCAAAGTAGATCTTAAGCTTTGTTTTTTATGTAGTTAGAACTTATAATCTTTGGATAAGATTTCATTAGCTGTTATGCACAGAAGCTGAACAACAACACAACCATAACAAGACTTCTATCCCAAACTAGTTCAGGAAGGGCTAAATATAGCCGAAAGAAATTATAAAGCGATGCAACCCAAAATCAGTGACAGCTTTAGGGTTTTTGGGACATGGATGGCTTATTTCTATGCACTCTGTCCATTGCCAATTCCTTTGGCATATACCACTCTAGAACATTTCTCTTCACTAATTTTTGCCACGTGTTATATGGTTGCGATCTTCGCGATCTTCTCCTAATGACTTCTTGATACAAGTTTTCTTCTCTACTGGGTGTACCCGGATGTCTATGTTAGAGATATGACCAAACCACCACACACGGTGTTGCATTAGCTTCGTGGGTATAGTGGTTGAAATTGTGATAAGCTTGTGTATTTTTATGTGATCAACATGATCTGTTGATGACTTGAAGCTGAAAGGTAAGTTCTATAAGATGGTGGTAAGACTTTTTCATAGCAATACCTAACCACCTTTTTCATAGCAATACCTAAACTAACACATGTCTTCCTCCTTTATCTTGTCATGGGACAAGCTACCTAAGATTACGTAGGTGGAATTGTACTATAACTTAATTGATTGTCTATTGATATTGATATGAAGCCGATTTTCTTTTTCTTCTTTAGAAGAGGTCTATGAATTTTGTACTGCTACTTAAGGTCTAGCTTGAGGTGTGAAGTCTTGTTTCCTTGTACCCCATTTCTTCGATTACCACATGGTTCAATATTTTCTAACACAGGTTGGATTACATAAGATAATGTGCTAAAATTACCGTTCTTTCATCAATTGGGGTGTTTCCTTGGGTAGTGAATTTTAGTAAACTAAGTGTTAAGATTGGTTCCTTCAGAAAAATGGTGAGGGACTGCTTCAGAGAAACTTGCTATATCTATATAGGTGGTCTCCTAAGGTGATTTTTTCATTACACCATGGTGGAATAGTGAACTAACTGAGTTTATCTCTAGCTCAAGGTGTTTCTATGTTACTGTTTACTTTACCAAACACCGCAGACTGGTTAAAAGAAATATATACATGGATAATAATAACTCAAATACGCACTGTGCATAAAGAAGTGAAAAGTTATTGAAGAATGATGTAATTTATCGTTCCTCCTGATATTTTAAAGTAATTATTTGCAGTCTCGGATAAAAAAGATAATGCAAGCTGATGAAGATGTCGGAAAAATCGCCATGGCCGTACCAGTTTTAGTTTGTAAGTTCTTAATAGCCTTTTAGGCTTTATATTAGCCATGCGGTGTTCTTACTCTTTTGTAATATCATGCAGCCAAAGCTTTGGAATTGTTTTTGCAAGACCTTTGTGATCGTACATATGATATAACTTTGCGCCGAGGTGCAAAGACTGTTAACTCACTACATTTGTAAGTCCTCCTTCAAACCATTTCTTAAACCACATTTTTGAAATTGAATCCTGGGGATTTAGGGTTTGCAAAAAGCATTTTTGGTTATATAATCCATTACATTGTATTGTTGGTGATATGGGAGATGCATTTTAATATATTTATGTTGAAGTTAGCTATAGACAATTTGTTTAAACGTATTGGAATGATTTAGTCGAAAGAGATCTTATCTGTAAATACAACACTTCTCTTTCTAATGAGCTCCAATCGCTGATATGTTCATAGTTCTATAAGTACATATGTATTTCCCCTCTGTGTAAAATGCAGGATGAGAGATGGTTTTCATATGATAAATCTGATCGATTCAGATCCAAATGTTTCTCAGTAACAGGCTATGCGCTAGAAATAGGTACCCCAAGTGTTGGGAAATGGCGCCCAAATACACACACAAACAAGTCAACAGTAAAGTAAATTGCAGAAAAATAAAGAACACACAGGATTTATGTGGTTCACTTGATTAAGTGTGATCAAGCTACTTCCACGGCCACACTAGGAGGTGTATTATTGATTACAAAGTTGGGGCTCACAATTAAATCAGTTTATATTTATAGAGTCGAAACTAGGTCAAGTTCCCATGTGCTGGACCCCAAAACTGAAATTTTCTTCTGCGACGCTTCCCCTAGAGGGTCAATGAGCTAAACGGCAAAACTAATGTTCCATATTAGAGAGTCCCTCCTTTTTTACAAGTGTTGCTACTGTTTAACGTTTTTGTTTGCTTTCCACTGTCCTTTTTGAATATTGTTTGATGTTGAAACACATCACATTCTATTTTTATTTGTTTAATTCAGAAAGCACTGTGTGCAAAGCTACAATGTATTTGATTTTCTGAGGGAAGTTGTCAGCAAGGTCCCTGACTATGGTCATTCTGATGCTGGTCTTGATGATCGTACCATGATAAAGAGGAAGTAAGAATTCTCTTCCATTCTCTGCTTCTTTTACCAAGTGGGTTATTCATAAATTGTTTTTCGTCGAGGTTATTCTGTGGAATTACTAAACTAATAAATATAAATTCAATGCATTTTCTTCTTCCAGGAAAGCTGCTGCGGGTGAAATGAATGAAAGTGATGAAGAGTTGAAAAGAAACAGGATGGTAAAAGTCTTTTCTGTTAGATTTTCCAACATAAATCATGTGTGCCTTATCCACATTCTCTTTAGAAATGGGTTGGATTAGGCATTGTTACATCCTAACAATGTAACCATTACTTTTATCCCCTAACAATGGTGAACTTAAAACATGAAGCATTAATAGCAAGTGATCGTAGAGGGTGTTTGGTTCATTTTAAGGAATGAGAATGAAAATGAAAATGGGAATGCAGGAGAATGGAAACAGTAATGAGGACCGCATTGATGCTGTTTGGTTAAACTAATATAATCAGTGAAAAATTGTTTTGTTTAATATTTTTAATAGAAATATATTCGTCCAACTTGAAAATATAAAATATGTTCTATCCAAGTTTTTGAAAATATAAAATATGTTCCATTCAACATCGAGAGATGGCTCAGCGGGATTAAATTTTCCATTCCCCCCAATTTGGTCAGGTATGAAAGTTAATGGGTTTAAGGTAATGGACCCATTATATTATATCAAACAAAACCACAATTTTCATTATCATTCTCATTCCTTACCCCTCGATACCCCGAACCAAATATCCCATTAGTTTTCCCTTATATGGTATTTACAAGTGAATTACTGGATGTTTCTAAACTCGCATTGAATTTCGTGTATTTTTATCCCATTTAGACATAAATCTTTAGCAAATCTTTGCTCTTCAAACATTATTATTGATTATTTAAACAGAAGTGGCATCTATGGATTTTCCACACAAGCCTTTGGCTCAAGTCCAGGGTACGATGCAACCTTCGAAGTTATTAAATCTTAGGTCCATGAGTCGGATCCGGACACAACCTTAAATGGCTACAACTTGGGCCATTGCTCCATTCATATGAGTAACATGCAAGCACTAGCCTTAAATTTACATCCTATGCATGGGGCGCAAGCCATCACTTAAAGCGATCCAATCCATTGGGTCTATGACCCATCATCTTAAATGATCCTATCCTAAACATGTTTTCAAGCAACATATGGTATTTTGGTCATAATGTGGCCGCATGCATATATATGGATGGTTGCAATCATGTTGGTAGGTCTTAGTATACCGGAAAACCAATCACATACAAGTTAGTAAGTTGGCATTGGTCGGTTGGAGTCCTGATGCACCTGAAAGGTTGCAGCTAAGGCAATTGATAAGACCATAAACATCCTTCTGATCTTGATAATACATTTCATATATACACCCTCCACCAAGAAAAGGAAGTACAATGATTCATGGGATAATAGATCATTTGTATATTTCATGATAGTTTTCATCAGGTTGGCATGTGAATCATTAAATCATTTAAAACACATACTAGTGTATTACTCCCTCCGTCCCTGAATAAGAGTCCATGTATTCATTTTAGTTTATAAGTGTCCACTTCTAACAAGTGCCTGCTTTCCAATTCAACCCGTAATTATGGGATGAGTTAATTAAAAAGTATAATAGTTACACTTCTCTAAAACTGTGCGTCTTTTTCATCGTGGACATTTATTTTGGGACGGGGGGAGTAACTCTCACCCTTTCTATAGCTATTTATTTACTAAAAGTGTCTTCCATTTGTTTTAGGTATATTTGTTTAGATGAAGGATCGTGTGAGGATAGGAGTTAAGATGAGAAGCGTAAGAAGGGATCTAGACCCTTGATCACTTTTAATCTCACCCCCACCCCATGAATTGTGCTTATCACGGGAATTGATCCAGTGCATCTTGGGTGCACCACATTAGTGTTCATCTTTGATCAGGATTGATCCAAGGATGGAGATCCCTTTCTTACCTTTCTCACCATAACTTCCATTCTCACCGGAACCTAACCCTAGTTGTTTATATACATGATGTCAATGTGGATTAATTTTGCCATCTTGGCTTTAGATCAAGCTGGACTGTCACTGAAAACACATTATTTCGTACAGAATGAAGCAAGGCAAACAAGCAGCAACGGTAGGGGCAGAGGCCGTGGTAGACCAAGGGGCCGAGGGCGTGGTAGAGGATCAGCAGAAAGAGAGCCTCCCCAGATGGAAGTAGAACCAGAATCCCGCACATCATTGATTCAGCAGAGCAGCAAGCAGGGTATGAATCTACAGGGGGAAACCACCGACAATTTAGAGTCAAGTAAGTCCATGAAAGGTGAATTAGCTGTCGGTGATGGTGCCACCACCGGTGGTCGGGACTTTGATTTGAATGCTGGGATTGACGAGAATACGGAGAAAGTTTCTGATGCCTTAGATGGAGGAGCTTCCGTACAACCACCAACACCACCACCACCACAGCCAGTTCCTGGTACAGGTACTGGCTGTTCGTCATCAGCAGAACCTGCTGAACTTAAGCAAGAAGATTATCTCGGGTTGTCACTTTCAGAAATGGACAGGATGGCGATTGATACCCACAATCTGGCACAAATCAACTCGAGGTTGGAAGAGGAAGACGAAGACTATGATGAAGAATAATACACCCACCAGGCTTCTTTGGGTGCTATTTGGGTAAAAAGCATACTTAAAAACACATATAAGCAAGGCTTAAAGATGCCCATTTGTTTCTTTTTTATGCTCTGTTCTTTACTTTCCGGTATTTCTGTATCTCATGTTTGTTTAGCCAGCTGTATTTACCCTAAAATGTCAACAAAGTACTGCAATTAACATGGTAATTTCTATGATCCCTCAGGAAGCACAGAGTGATTTCTTTTTCCAGCTCAAGAAATCCAGCATTTAACGGGCCTTTTCCATGCTCTATTTTGGATCAAAAGGCCCTTTCTGATCTCTTATTCATTAGAATTATAAATGATCGATGCTCACATTCTGATCTGTTTTGATTTCTTGAAGCATTCTCATTCCTTGAAGAACTGAAATGATGAATTTGTGACCAGAGTTGTAAGCCTTCTGAAAGTCTACTTTTTATTACCAGGGTATGCATCTGATCTCTTCATTATGCCATTACTTATTAGCTAACTGTTTGATCCCTTTTCTATATGTGCCATTGCTCATTAAATAATAGCGTGATCATACACGAAAGTGTTTTTGGTTTATGCTAACAAAGTGATTGATAACCCTTTTGAATCTGGTTGCCGATACGTTAGATATGGTTTTTATACAGGGGTGTTAAGGAGTTGAGCTTTATACTTTGATTATATGATTTATGAACACATGAACATGTTTGGCTCGAAAAAGGGTATGCTTGAATGGCTCGGCTCGGCTAGAAAAATTTACTCGAGCTTTTGAACAAGCTAAGGCGAACATTGGTGTTATGGAGCTCAATAATTGTCGAGCTGAAGTGGATCTCGAACACACACTATAACTCGTTTAACTTGACAAGTCGATCCGAGTCGAGCCATTCAGGCATACTCTTTTTTGAGCGAAACATGTTCATGTGTTCATAAATCATATAATTAAAGTATAAATATTATTGAGGTCGCGCCAAAAAGCAAGCTAATCGATCTTGAGTTTGAGCCTATAAACGAGTATGGAGCTCGAGTCCTACTGTGAAATAGTTATTCAAGCTCGAATCTGGTAATAACTATTTCACAGTAGGGCTCGAATAACCTGCAACTCAACTCGTTAGCAGGATTTTCTATCAAGCTTACTAGTTACTAGGCCACTTACAGTTTGCAACAGTAATCATGATTGTTGGTTTGTTTTTACACCTGATAATACACATCAATTCTGTTCTTTTTATCATTCATGGATAATATCTATTTGTTAATATGATAATTAATTTAATATTTATTTAAAACCCTTTTACTAATTTAGATATTTTGGATTCTTAATACTTGCACTAAGCCTCTGTTTTCTTAACAGTGATCTTGATTTGATATTTCTAAGGGGTCGTTTACTAAACACTTGCTCAGTAAGCGCGCACTGGTAAAATTCAACACTATCACTTACTTACCGGGTGAGATTTTAGTTTAACCAAAAGGCATTATATGCAACAATTTATCCGGTAAGTGCTAACCGTGGTAAGAGTCGTCACACTCACTTGTCAGGGAAGACTCTTGGTTCTTGCCTCGCTCTTACCGGGTAAGATTCTTAGTCCTTACTATATTTATCTAGTAAGGTAATATGATTTGGTAAGCGCTTACCCGGATAAGCGTTGGTAAACGGACCCTAACTCTTGCTATATATATATATATATATATATATATATATATATATATATATACACTAACTAATAACACCAAACTCAAATCTGATATCTGGTTTTATTGTGCATGTGAAAGGAGTGATGTGTTGGTATTAACTAAAGTTATAGGTGGGTGATCACTATTTGATTATGGTCTGGTGGCTATGAGTGGATCCTTTCCTTCTCAATATTGAATTTGTCTGTCTAATATCTCAACCTTGATGGTGATTGTAGAAAGTTCTCTTATGTAAATTGTAATGAGAATTGAGATAAATTGAGGTTTTATAATCATGCAAGATATTGCATCCGGAAGAGATTTAAGATAAACAATGAATGTAGTTCACTATTTGAATTCATGTTAATGTTATCATTGAATCAGAAAGTTAATTACATCCATATTATTTTTCTCAAGACTCTTCCAAATACAATATCTTGTATGTTACAAAACCTCGATTTATCTCAAACCTCTCATTAAAGCTACAATTTGCACACAAGTTTTTTCTAGAATCAAGATGAAGGAGGAGATGTTAGGCCATGGAAGACAATATGAAGAGGGAAATGATCAACCAATGGGAAACCAAAGTTGACATGAATTCTAAATTTACACAATATTGTTTTTGTGGTCTAATGTCTCTAACTTATATAGCGATTGTAGAAAGATTTCTTATGTAAAGTGTAGTTGGAATGAGGATTGAGATAAATCGAGGTTTTGTAATAATGGAAGATATTGCATTGGGATGGGATTTAAAGATAAACAATGAATTTGGTTAACTATTTGAATTCATGTTAATATTAACATTGAACCGGAAAGTTAAACTACATTCATTGTTTTTCGTTAAATCTCTTCTCAATGCTATCTTGCATATTACAAAACCTCGATTTATCTCAAACCCCATTACAGCTAAAATTTGCACACAAGATTTTTCTAGAATCAAGATGAATGAGGAAAAACAATTTGGCGAGGGAAATGATCAACCAAAATCTGACATGAATTCTAAATTTACACAACATTGTTTTTGTGGTCTAATGTCTCAACTTATATAGCGATTGCAATAAGATCTCTTATGTAAAGTGTAGTTGTAATTAGGATGGAGATGCATTGATTTTGTAATCATGCAGGATATTGCATATGTATATGTCTAGTATCTCATATTTGATAATACACATGATATATATCACAATGTGATTGACCGGTGGTGGATCTATGATTTTTGTTCAGTGAGGTCACCTTTAGGGTAGACTAAAAACCTGCAAAATCGTTCGATGTGTTTTTAACTTAATTACAACGTTTTCGAAGGAATTTTAAAGTTTTTTGGTTGATTTCGAATAATTTTTTTGGTTTTTTTGATCGATTTCAACAGATTTTTTTGGTTAGAATAACAGAATAATTTTAAAGTTTTTTGGTTTTATTCCATATATTGATGTCACATTTTAATTATTTAATTTATTTAATATCATATTTCTTAATTATGTCATTAGTTACCATTTTGAAACAAATTCATAATCAACTTTAAACAAAAATGATTGTTTCACATATAAATTTTAAATAAAATCATTGTTTCGCCTATAAATTTTCTAGTTTTACTTATGAACTTTAGAAAACTTTTGGAAAAACAAAATTCATACATGAACGGAAAGAATTTTAATTACAAAAATAACCAAATTTAAGGGATAAATGAAAGAAATTTAATTTCAAAACTAACTGAATTAATCTTCAAAAAACAAATCACAGTTTGTTCCAATATTGCTCTTCATTTAGTTCATTTCTTCTTTCATCAATTTATAATCTCTAATTTAACCATAACCGTTGATAAAAAAAAAAAGTGAACGATTTAAATGAGTTTGTAAAGTTAATACTAATTAACTGGTCAGCAAATGATAATACTTCTATGTATATATAATATTTATAATTCATATAATACAATACACATTAGTTAACTTTTATTTTTCTAAAAAAAATGAAAATAATATATAAAAGTAATTTTTTAATAACCATAGGAAGGAGTTAAACCTAAACGTTTTTACAATCTATGATAGTTATTTTGCATTTTTTGAAATTCTAGGAACAGAAAGTGTTGTAACGAGATAAATAAGGGACCACAATGGTAGTTTACTCTTTTAATTAAATCACTTGAAAACCATTTTCCAATTAAGTTTATGGGCTTGATAGATTGGGCCGGAAATTGTCTGGGCCAAGGGCTTGGGCCTTAGTACAAGAAAGAAACACATTATTTTGCCTTTTTATCGGTGTTCAAAAAAGCTTGCCGTAACAGTTGTCGTGGCTTTAAGATTTGTGTTTCTCGCCAAATTAAGCTTGTATCACATTATAACCTAATGCGCGGTTTTTGTAATGCAATATTTGATTTTTCTTATTTTTTTTATGTCTTGTTTATTATTTTCTAATGTATAATATAATTTAAATTATTTAATATCATTGACTCATTAAGTAACAGTAGAAAATATATGTATAATAATTTATATGATATAAAGATTTGCCGTTATAAGACAGGTCTTGAAAAACGCTGCAGTCTTGCCATGGAGTGGCTCCTATAACTTAAGGTTTGAACTTGCTGTCACACCATGTCTCACGCCATTTAGTCCTATGTTGTTCCACCTTTTTTGGTGGAACAAAAATTATCCACTTTTGTCCCATCAAATTTAAAAATAGTCCCACCTTGTCCCATGTAATTTTTGTCCATGGCATGCCAAACATGGGACTATTTTTTTTTGTCCCGTCCCGTCCCGTCCCGTCCAGTCTGCATATCAAACGCACCCTTAAGACCTTGCTTTTTATTTATTCGTGATTATTGATTAAAATAATTGACTAAAATCATTTCAAAATATTGCAAATCAGCCCTCAAGTTTCAAGCTTCATGATTCTGCCCTGCTATTATGTAATCGACTTTTGAGTCCAATCCTTGAATCATCGTAAATTGGACTTTTGCAACTTTTATTTACTTCAAAATTCAAGAAATTACAAGAATAACCCTGGAATGTTAACTTATAGATAAGGATGGTGATTTGCCCCGACTCGGTTAGGAACCCGACTCATCCGACCTGAATGGGGACGGGGATTCCCCCCTAAAACGGGTCCCGGGGCCAGGGATCCCCGGTAGACTCAAACCGGGGCCAGGGGTTGTTACTCAAACCGGAGTTTGGGTCGGGGATCTTTGTTAGATTCAAACTAACGTATATTCTTTATGGGGTTTGATCGGGATTTGACAGGGGACGGGATGTTAATCCCCATACTCGTCGAGGACTGGGGTCGAGGGCTGTTACTAAAAACCGGGACCGGGGTCGGGGATTACAAAAACCCTTCCCGTCCCCACCCCGTTGCCATGCCTACTTATAGATTTTGTCCATATTTATGAGAAAATGATTTTATGGAAATTAAAGAAAATATTTTGGATGTAATGAATTATAGTCTTTGAAATTAGTTCAAAGGAGATTGATTATTAACGTTTTGATTATCGTCACTCGTGGGGGTCCGACCAATCAACTGGAAACACATCGGGACTATTGTTCACTATTATTAGGAAACACATAAATGTTTAGTTATACTATTATGAACCCTTCCTCTTTCGATGTTGTTTTTGCAAGGATAATTTTGTTTTTTTTAAGAAAAATGAATTGAATTGAATTCATTCTCAATTGTGATGGAACGACCAAATCCACGAATGATGGAATATATGGAATTCAATTTCATTCTATAGGTAAACCAAACTACTTAATGAAATTTAGTCAACATAATTGATCACTCCAATTCCTTTGAAGTCCTTCGAAATCCTACGAACCGAACGCCCCCTTAGTCTTCAGAAGATTTGCCTTCTAGTTAGTCTTCAAAAGTGAAGGCTTGCCTTCTGAACTTTGAATTAGGGCATACCGTTTAGCGGGACCCACCAGAAGGAGCTCTATTCCTGGACCCCGCAAGGGGACAGCCTCCTTGACCCCCTGTTTTGTGACAATTTCAGGTCTAAGTGTGCACTCTACAACTCCTAACACATATTATAACTTGACTATAAACCCTATCAATCTCATGTAAAATCACAACTACACCAAAATAATTGATGATACTAAAATCACCAACAACATTTTAAAAGGTATATGTATGCTTCACTGAAACAGTTGCTTTACTCTTTGGGATGGAGGTCAGATCTTCATACATCAACCCCTTCCCTCCCCCCCTCCCCCAAACACCTTAACATGGTGGGATATACTGGGCTTGTTCGGTTTGGTATGCTCCATGTAATAAGGGAGTGGGAATAGTTAAATCTAACAAATCATTGTTTTTTCAAGGGGAGGATTTGAATCTGAGTAATGGATACTGATAAATCAGCTAAGGCTGCACCAAGTAAGCTCCAAAAATGCAATAATTTTCTTTAAACAAACTCTGGAATCAATAAAATTTATCACTTTTGTGTATTTGCATACAACAATCTGTAACGCATGCCTCTTACAGAAAATCAAGAATTCAAAAAATGAATGTGAGCTAGCAAAATGATGAATGGAATTTTCAGCATATATGTCCAATTTGTATGGTTTTGAGATCAAAAGTAACTAGATTGAACCTGCAAGAGTTCAAGTTGTGCCAATAATTTCGCCACCGTTGGTTTCAACTGCGGGTCACCATTCTGTGCAAGATCAATCAGCACCGCCTGTGCCGATTCTCCATACTTTACTCTGTAATCTTCAACTCTGAATACCCTCTCCAATATCCAAACTACTTTTTCTCGACTCTTTATACTCCCCGATTCCATCACTTTTATGATAGCTTCCATCCCAGCCAGTTTCTCAATGTAACTGCATCCATTTTCCCATGCCTCATCTTGCATAAGAGTTGCAATGGCAGCAAGGGCAGCTTCATCTGCTTCCCTTTCGTTACCTTCCAAGATTCGTATCAAGGGAGGAACAGCACCAGCTTTCACCAAGCAAAAATTGCTTTTCACAAAGCAGTATCCATTATGAACTTCACAAAAGGCTTCTGAAGAGGGAGGAACGCATAACCATCTTGGTGTTTTCGACTTTCTGAGGTTTAAAGAGTTCTGCGATAATTGTGCTAGTGAGGTTGCAGCTCTGCATTTGGCAACTATTGGCCCATCTGACAGCACCTTTACTAGAACAGGTATTACCTTATTTTCAGCTGAGTAAAGCTGAAGTTTCAGATTGGATGTGACGGTAAATCTCATTAGTATACCTGCTATATTCTCAACCAAATGTGATGAAAAAGGGTTCGTTGAACTTGAACTTGCTTGTTTTGAACACATTATGGACACAAGAACAGGTAATAAGTTTGCCTTCTTGAGTATATCTGTAGCTTTCTTATCATTAACCGGAAGGTTGCTCAGAATCCCAGCAGCCGTAGCTTTTTCACTTTCAGATGTCGAAGATGAGAGGATATTTACGATGATAATAAGATGGGTTTCTCCCAGTTGCTCTGTAAGTTCATCTGATAACTCTTTAGATAGTGTGTAAATCAAGTTGAAGGCACCAATCCTGGTTTTTGCATTGGTTTCGGTAAGAAATGGTAGGAGAAGTTGAATTGATCCATTTTCCTTCATTTTCCTTCTAACTTTTGAAGCACTAGCATGAGAAGCAATGCTATTTAGTGCTTCTAATAGGTGATGCTGAATAACAGGACTTGATAGATTAAGAATAGAGAACATTTGAAGAGCAATATCATGGTTAACAAGCATAGCATCAGATTTGGCGATTCTCGCAAGAATGGCTGACGCTGGTTCACGGAGTGTCATGAGAACAGATGTGACGGAAAAGAGGAGTTGAAGTAGTGAGGGTACGATTCCTGAATTGATCAACTGTCGGATGTTTTCTTTTAAGGTAGATAAGTTTTGTAGTGCACTCAGAGATGATAACTTAGCTTCAAGTTTTCCCTCTTTGAACATTTTAACTAGGGGTGGAATTGCACCATCTTCTCCAATGGAAGCCCTGGTTTGGTCTCTAAGTTCCATTCTTGAAATTGCTGTTGCCATGAGAATTTTACTCATGTCGGATCCTGTAACCACATAACAAGGAAGTTTACGAGTGATAAACCAAGAATCTGCTCCCATCCCAAAATAAGGTCCGCTCTCCATAGCACAAATATGATGAATTAGAATATAGACAACTATCCATATTCTAGACTGAGTCCTTGGTTAAATGAACTTCTGACAGTTTTTTTAATCTATAACCTTCTGTCAGGTTTGAGAATGTCGTTTAACAGAAGAATGCCTCTTCTATACACAATAATGCCTAGAAACTGGTCAGAAGATCATGGATTTAAAAAAAACACTTGTCGGAAGGTCATTTAGCCAAATAACCCTTTTATTATACTCACGTGTCCTTCTCTTTCTATCCGAGTTGAAACCTTGGGATAAATAGAAAATAGAAATGGGGACTTTTTTGTGGGATAAACCATCAAAAAATTATGATGTTATGCCAAAAGCTTAAATTAAGTTACCTTCTGTTAAATACTTTATTAGTGGCTTAAAATAACCAGCTTCTGCCATATGAAGAGCATTCTGAGTATTGCTCGACAAAGCGGCCAACAACTTTCCAGCATTATGAGAAGCTGTTTGATCTTCACCATTGAAAATAGCAACCAACATAACTATGCATCCTTGAATTCGTCCAATTCTTCTTCTCACAGTAGAAACATCAGACAGAGTGGACAACAAGCCTACCGCCTCCCTCTGTTCGTCCACATCCCGAGTCAATGATTTGACCAGTGCCGACAAATACTCTACCTCTGCCATCTTGCTCTGCACATTATTTGGCTAAGTAAAACACATACACATAAGCAGGATTCGTGGGCTATTTAGCTAAATGACCCTCTCAAAAACTGAATTTAAAGATCTAATCCTCTAGTATATTTATAAGTTTTTACAGGAGCCGACTGTTTTGAACCAGAGGCAGGTTAGACGAAGGGAATTGAGGTAAAAGGTATTAGAAGGTCATGCTCCTAATTTAAAACTCATTTAAGATCATCTATCCAAATGATCCAGGATTTGCACACTGGAAAAGATGTTCATATCAGGTTTATAGTCAAACTCAAAACACACAGAAGAAATGAAAAAAGACAGTCCTCCCAAGCAGAAGTTCTACATATTACTACACACTCAAAAGTGAAAGAAATTAGCAATTACACCAACCAGTATAGCTTAAATTGAGAATGTATCTGAACACACCTTAATTCCATCATTTTGTGCAACGAGGCCTCTAAGATTCTGAATGATACTCAACCGGTTATGTGACTTTGTTGAACTCAACCGATTGAATAGAATTGGGATAATCCCCTCTGCATCAACCCATTCACTAGTAGCCTTATTATCTCTTATCAAAGTGTTCAAGGCAAAAAGTGCAAGTTTTAATCGTTCATCATTTCCACACTTGAGATGCAAAACAACATCTTCTTCACTAAAACTCGATACATCCTCTTCCACTTCAACTATCTCTCCAACAATATCCTCCTCTTCATCATCCACCTCCTTCTCCTCTATCTCGACATCATCAAGAAAGTCTGATTTACTATCAGAACTTGCAGCACTAAACTGTGCAACACTCATCATTTCTCTCCTTAAAGCCTCGAGTTTTTCTTTACCTGTCATCGACACATCATGACTAGCAAATAACACAAGGCCTATAGACCTACCAAGATTTTCTGTGATCTCCTCAATTCTCTTGTTTGGTGAAGACACATAACGTGGACTTGCAATCAAAGCCTTAGCCCTTTGCAACTCTGTTTCAAGAGATTCAACAGCTTTTCTAATGGGAGACGTCTCCATGATCTTATTTTCCTTGAATTCACCAAGAATTACACTTAATTTACGTGTAGAGTGAGAGAATTCCGACAAAGTTTCTGAATCTTTTGGTACACTGCAAGTTGCCTCATCACCATCAGAAACAAACACAGAGAGGCTTTTATCCTCCATTTCTTGACAAACCCAGATGACAAAATAACAGTTTTAATAGAAGGTAAATACAGCAATAAACAGAGAGAGTGAGAACGCAACAGCTGGGATTGTAATTATGGCCCAAGATCATGCATAATTTGTTTTAAGCAATCTTACTCAAAAACAAACCAAGATTGGAATCAAGAAAACCGTTCCCAATTCTTTCACACAATTCAGCAAACAGTTGGTGAGCAAAGGATAATTGGAATAATTGTCGAAACCCAGACGACGACAGAAGATGATTGAACACCCCAAGCTTAAAAAAGTCTTGAATTCTTGGTGTTTGTCGCTTCTTCCTGACGTGAAATACAAAGTTTGGTTGTTTGACAGAGAATTGAAGGAAGATAAGACAAGATGAGTGAAGGTTGACTTCGTCTTCGGGGTTCATTTTCCAAGTTGTCGCGTTGAAGATGAAAGGAAAAAGTATAAAGAAAGAATGAGAGAAAAGTTCCAAATGGGAAACAACCAACCTACAAACTGATCCCACTTTCTTGCATCCAACGACTTGGTGTCAAAATTGGCGCATGGCATGGGGACGGCGGGTGATTCTACCGCGGCCGGAGCATTTAAGTCGTGGTAGGTAATGACAAACAAAGACGTGGACTCAGACCCAATCGCCAATCATCGCTAACCGCTTACACTTTATTCCCTAATCGTTATTTAGAAGTTATGATTTTATTTTAACTTAAAACTTCAAAGTTACAATTATGGTTTTCTTATTTATTAATTTTCTTTTTTTATGTTGATTTTAAAAATTATTTTTTTACATTTTTAATGCAATCAGATTATTTATTTTTAATTTTCAAGTATTTTTTTTATATTGAATAAATTATTATATATCCGTTGATTATATTTAGCAATTTTATTTTATACATATTTTTTTATTAACCTCGATATCCAACCCGCTATGCGAACCGACTAATTTCAGTGCGACCATCTACTTTGCAGGTAGCCCGGAGTTACCGCATTTGAACCTCCACGGCCACAAGGGATTTTTATTCCTCTTTGGATTTGAACTTGGGACCTCCATGCACTTTTGACCTTTGGAGCCCAAGCTCAAACCAATCAGGTACTACCGGTTATTTGATACATATTTTAATAAAGTGATAGAGGACAGATCAATTATACAGCTAATATTTTAAAGACTAAACCAATTAAATTATAGTCGTATTCTGGTAAAAAAAATAGGAACGGTTGATAATTGACCTTGTTTTTCATTAAATTTGAACTATTCCTTTATGTAATTATATAATGAAACTATATTTTATATGAACATTTTCTTGTACCATTTGCTTTATTGGGGTTTTCTATGTCTAATGTTAGAATTCAAAGATGAGATTTATGGGTCGTTTACCTAAATGCTTACTCAGTAAGCATTTACCGGTGAGAGTCAACATTTATTTATTTTATCGGGTAAGATTCTAGTTCATCAAAACAACATCGTATACAACAATTTATCCGGTAAGCTGCTAACCGGGTAAGTGTCTTAGGGGCTTTTTACCCAAAAATATTTACTCTGTAAATGCTTACTGGTAGGAATCAATATTATAATTTACTTTTATTGGATAAGATTGTAGTACATCAAAACGGTATCCTAACAACAATTTACCCAGTAAGCGCTTACCCGGGTAAGAGTCGTCATCATCACTTACTGGGTAAGACTCTCCATCTTTATCATCGTTTTTACCAGGTAAGATTCTTTGCCCTTGTCATGTCCATCCGCTGAGCAAAATTGTATGTTAAACACTTACCAGGTAAGAGTTTAGTAAACGACCCATTAATGTCACGTAAATTAAATAAAATGTCATATATTTTGATCAATAATATTTTATTTATACACAAAAAAGATAAGGGTATTCTTAGTGAGAAATAAAAAAGATCGAGGGGGTGAGATAGTTGGAATGGTGACTTTTGACTTTAGAGGAACTTTAGTGGTCTATCTTAAAAGAAAACGGTCAACGAAATTTTAGCAGATTAAGAGCATCTTTAATAGTTTTTTTTAAATGGAGAAAATGGGAATTTTGAGTTTTATATTTTGCTCCAACAGCTTCCTCAAAACTATCTCCAAAATAAATAAAATAAAAGAGATGATGGTTTATTTTATAATAACTTATTTTTGTATGCTTTTGTCACATCACGTATAACACATTAAGTTAAGAACTTAAATAAAAGCTCATGATAATAATTTTTTTTATGGGTCTCATATAATTTTTCAATAAATAATTATAAATTCAATAAAATATATAATAAAATGTCATTTCATACGAAATTCAAGATAAGAACCAAGATTCGTATAAAAAGTCTCTTCTTCTAAAAACCTACATTTTTTTGCTTAAGAACCTCCGATTGTTGATGTTCTTATGATGCCTTCGGCCAAAAGGTATCAACTAACGCTTTTATCATTCTTATAGGTTCAAATAGATTGAAATTATGTACTATGATAACACATAAATGATCTAAATCGGATAAATTCAAAGCTTAAATTGCCATTCAATCAATATTATTCACATACGAATTCGATTCTAGATATAGGCGAATTCGTGAAATTTGGATTTGGGTTCACACCTGAATACGAATTAGAAGAGTATTCAATATCGTTCCCACTTACAACACCTTCCTGAACTCAAACTCAAATATTAGCTGCGGAGTTCTGATGGGATCCCGTAACAATAAAATTGGCGACTTTTAGTCGGATATTGAACGAAAACTGTGTCTACTCCCAAAACTTGTTTAACTGACAATAAACTTGGCGATTACGGTGACACAATCCAATTTGATGTAATAACTGATATGGACAACATTAACAGCACATTAAAACCACAAAGAACTTCAAAATCCTTTCAAGAGATTTGATATCTCACAGAACTTTGGAATACTCCATTAGTTACTACATATAACAGAATATACAGCTTCAGCTGACAAGAGAATACAACTCTTGGCCAATTTCTAACGATTTCTTTGTGTCTCGGGTCCAATGATAGTCTACGACTATATGGTATACCTTCATTAGTATGGCCAACTGTGTATATTGGTGAATCGGAGTAGAATCTGCAAATCGACACAAAAAAAACAGATGAACAGTGAACGTTAAATTATTTAACACTCTGGTTTTAGATGCAATGCAACACTCTACGAGGCTAATATTCAGAAAGACACGCACACGTTTTCTGGAGAAGCACGAGCCAATGTGACGTTTGTACTATAAACCAAACCCCAAACAAGTCCAGTATATCCCATCTGGAGGTACGGTCTGGGCGTGGGATACAGATAGATTCGTTTGTACTATATTATACATATGAAGATACATATTTTGGTCAGGATTTGTATAAATGGAAGGTATTTAGAACATATTGTTATTTTTTCACCTCATTACCACCATCATGTTTTTTATCACTTAACAGGATACGGAGAACATTAGCTAGCAGAAGGACTTGAACCTATATTGTCCTATTATTTCCTATTTTTCAAAAAAATTCTAGATTATTTCTTAAACCAAACAAACCCAGTATATTCCACTAGAAAGTGGGGTTTTATGATGTACGCAGCAGACCTGTCCTTTACCCCAAACGGTAGAGCAACAGGTTCCTTGAAGACCCTCCGGTTTGTGCAAAAGTGTGCTTCAAAAGGAAAGGAGAACCAAAACTAGTAATCCTTCTGTCCCAAAATAAGGTTCTAGATTACTATTTTAGTTTGTCCCATAACAAGTGTCCACTTTCAAAAGTAAATGTATACTTTCACATTCTACCTTTAAATATGAGGGAGAAAATTTCTCTCTATAATTAAGGGTAAAGTTGTCCTTTTGTTGATTAAAAAGTGCTTTTTTCATTGGGGACATTTATTTTTGGACAGAGGGAGTAAATAGTAAGCAACAGGAACAAGAGAAAAAGAAAAAGGCACATTGAAACATATAAAGAATAAGGAAAAACATATATCCCTCAATCTACCATAGGACTCTGTTACCCTATCTGCTTGTATTGTTTTAATTTCCTACGGGGTAGAGCTTGAGGAGGGGGGGGGGATAAAGCATTTTCTGGAACTAGCATTATTACCGTTATAGATGTATAGGTATCCTTAAACCATCATGTGCAAGCTGAACCGGAATTCCTTCTCTGTAACAAGCAACATATGAAGAATTAAAAAGCTAGTTGATTGTTTGATATGAGTATGAAGTATCACCATAGCTGGAGGGCAAGCATTCTCAAATGTAGGTACCTTTTAGACCAATCCTGAAGGAATTCATTATCTTTTTGATGATCAAATTCATGAGTCATCCCGATTAAAAATGCTCTCTTTGGTTGCAACCGTTTAATGGCTTCAAGTGTCTGTTGATTAATATGTAAATTGAGATACAAGGATGAAGACTGAAGTAATTTAAAGTGAGATGGATCTCGATAAGGGAACCTAATGACGAACCTGTGGGAAGCAAAAGTGGGTATTATGTGATCCATTCTGCAAAAAGAAAATATACGAAAAAAACATACTGAGGAATTGCATGGCAGATAAGAATCAACCTGAAACAGAATTAGAGTCCACTTCTAAAGTGCTAAAAACAATTAAGAAATAGGTATTATGTTTTTATGAGTTATTTAGAGACATCTGTCTTCCTTTTATAGCAGTCACAATTGTTTTAAACAATAATATAATCATATACCAGTGATTCACATTTGAACAGTTACAAACCTGATTTTTCCATATGAAAAGAGAATATTTAGAACTTCTCTCTGCTATAAGCATGTCATTATATTGCTAGCTTAGACATATTTTCTATCAAATTTCATGCAGTTTTATGCACTATCCGAATGTTATCATGCAGCTAGAATTTTATGTCAAGCAGACATAACTCAGTATCAGCATTTTTGTAATTCACATAAATGTCTTTTGGTGGCAGCTGCCTTCTGTCTGCCATTTTATCTATAAAGCCCATAAACGATGTTCACTTGAGAGCTTGGGAATGTTAAAAAGAATGTCATGAAACCTGTAAGCCTACAGAAAATTTTAGCATGTTTTTGATGTTATATCACTTACACTCTTCACTGCTATATATATATACACACAAGGAAGAGTTCAAATGAGAACACTTCCATTTTTACGAGAACGTAAAAACACTTTTTACTATAATCAATCACATGTAATACAATAATTCATCACATGTGATATTAAATCAGAGACGCAAGCAACCTTTGGCACGACCTAGGTCGTGGGCCAAGTCGCCTTCACATCACCAGACCCCTCTCATTTGAACCTCCACCTATTTTTACTAGATGAATATTCCGTACAACCTTCTCTTCCTACTTTTACTTGTTGCTTCTATTGAAGGAATTCAGTAACGAGAAAACAGTACATGTTTCATGTTTGCAGACACCCATTGACGAACAGATGTGATATAAACGTCTAATACATTCTTAAACCTGATGCACATCAAGCACATTCATGGAGCAAAGAACATTAATTCTCCCTGCATGTGCTACAATAGGTTTGTATGAAACAGAGTTATCAAAAAAAGAAAGAAACAGTGTTCAGACCCTATAAAGTGTATCAATTATCAGAAGATCCAGCTGTTGACCACCTCTTTTAGAAATATCTGCACAATCAGAAAAACCAAGAATAAACTGCAACATCTTAAGAGTTCACGGGGATGAGAGAAGAAATATCATGATTGTACCGACTAAAGCATGTATCAATTGTGTCATAGAAAATTAATCTCAAATTGGAGTGTGAAAAGGAGAAGACAAGTGAATAGATCTATATCAGCTAGGGAGTCTCAGCATAAGATGACATTTATTTCTAGTACTAGCTAGTCTGATTTTTTTTTAAATGGATAGCAAATAGCAGACTGAAAATAGATATTTGTAAATCCTTGTATCCTAGTTTTGGAACAATTTTCCAAGTTAATTACCACTGTACCATTCTGTCAATTCACCCAGCAAAAAAAGAAGAAAACTCAATTTTGCACAAGTTTCTGGGCAAGCTTTCATGCATGGCCGACTTCAGGATCATAACACAAAGTTCACAAAAACAGTCTAGTTATCATTATGTAATGGACCAAAAATCCATCCTTTATAGATCCTTTCATCCTTAATTTCTTTCTGGCAGCTTATTTTGGTCAAGATATCACCACATGACCAATGCTGAGAATGCCAATCGGAAACCAAATGAAGTACTCAATGATGCAATGCCAACACACAAACCAGCAATACGAAAACATGCCACCATAAAGCCTAGAATGTAATTAACATTGCCATTTATAAATAAATTGCTAAAAAAGCACACTTCTTTCATACTACTAGTTGCACTTGACCACTAATAATTGAACATTACACCAATCTATACACATAACATGTTCTAGAGCCTACACATTTGCAAAAGAGTTTGGTGCCTCGCGAAAAGTGAAAAAGAAGTACAAATTGATGAAGAGGAAAGGAGAAACACTCACAGAGTTCTGTCTCTTTGATAAAGCGTGAAATATCAGATATATAAGCTACTTTGCTATTTTTTCCAAATGAGAAACCTAAACAAATATAATCCTCCCCATGCATCACCTAAATGAATGTAAACGACAGTCAGAAACCTGGATAACAATAATCATAACTGCAATTTGTAATTGCATCAAAATGGAATGTACTTTGTTTCAGTTCGCATTTTGGAAGCCTGCTTTCAGATTTTGGGCCCCATTTGGGGAACTTACTATGTCGTTACAGTTTGATGCAATTAAGGGAACGAACTATGTTTTTGATACAATTAAGGGAATATATATAACTTCAATAAACAAAAATAAAATGTATTATAACTTTGTAAACAAAAATGATTCTTGAATTTTTTTTCTTTTTATTAAACTTCTTGTTTGAGATGTCTTGACATAGACATTAGACACCAAAAGGGAGCTTGTGAAAGTTGGTTCCCTAAAATAGGAATCGGACCTCATACGTTCCATTTTGATGCAATGTGCCCTTAATATTTCAAGCAGAAAATAAAAAAAGTTGAGAAGATTAACTGGCAAGGGTACAATTTCTAGTCCGGATGCAACAAATGGTCTCTTACAATCATTCTCAATTATTTTCCAATCAAGTTGTGCTACGCGTCTAACTTCCTGACCAGCCTTAAGTGTCCTTTGAACCAAGTAGGGAAATTTCACTTTTAAGCTGTTTAACACACAAGGAACCAGTGAGCATATTTAGACAAATCATGCAATCATGGTGAAGCAGCATTATACCATGAATTTCTCAGGATACCAAAGACAATATGGCTGTGCTATCCTGGTTAATAAAAAAAAACAAACAAAATATATGGCTGCACTATGCAATACGGAAAACAGAAAATGCATGGATTTAGGGGTCAAGAGATCATGGATTACTCAAACAAGAGGTAATCTAGGGGAATGTTAATATCATTTGGTAACTGAAGAATAAATAAAGTACAAGTAGTGGGAAGTGGTCCAGCATAAGATAACTCAACAATAAACCTAGTTAGATAATAATATAGAATGACATAGTAAGCCCTACTGTTCTAACACTCGTCAAGACGGAGAATAAAGATTGAGCATGCCCAACATTTCATACATAGGGCTACTCTCAGATCCCCATAGAGACTGTGTTAGAATATTGACAACTTTATCTCTAAAACAAACCCAAACTGGCTCGCTCAATTAACAAGGCTTTACAAGAAGTCCTTACGACCTTCTCACACAATGTGGCAATCAAAGTTAAATGTGCTTTATGAATTTGTGAAAAATCTTATTCCTCGAGATATGTATGGCAACCTCATTATCATAGTACTTCTCCATCACACCCATTAAGGATTGAATAGCAAGTCAAAGTTAGATGTATTAGGGTGGACGATGTAACAATTATGAAGCAATCATGCAAAGGATAAGATACTTCATGAGTGCACCTAGCATATGGAGATAGATTGTCACTTTGTTCATAAGAATGTGGTTGGTACTTCTCATGAATCTCCTTCTACCAAGAGGTATGGATGCTTTCTAGAGACCAAGTAGCTGAGGCAAAATTCTCTAACTAAACTGACATGTCCTTCACCACGAAGACATATATATAGTCTTGAATGGAACGTGTATCCTCTGATTTATCAGTATCCAACTTCTACCAGGGGCCGGGATGCAATCACAAATCTAATAATGCTACAAGATTTAGCACGCAGAACATAACCCTGCCAGAAGTCAAGAAAAGGTCTTCCCTTTATTTCTCCCTTCTATAAGTACTCAATCGCATGGTATGAAGAAGAGGCTAAAATGTAACTTGGTCATCATAGTGTCAAGAGATGAAACAAACCCAAGAAGTTGAGTACCTCTCCATTGCATGCTGATTGAGGAATATAGGTGTAGGTTCAATGTCATTTATTGGACTGAATGGCTGCACTGCACGGATGTCATCCAGACCGAGAACTGCATCCGCATGTTCATGAGTCAAAACAATCTGCATTTATACCAAGCATCAGATATTTATCTGGATGTTAATTAACAAGTGGAGAAAAATGTTTTCAAAAAACAGTGGGTGCAACAAAAGAACATAAAAGAGCCATATGGTCCATGTATAGTTTACCTCCCAACAGGTGGTTTACAGAAACATCTCCCAGCAGATAATTTTTATAACATTAGGACACGATGAGATGAGTTCATGTATCATGAGTGTGGAAATTTAGTGCAAAACAAGTATCAACCCTTCTGTAATGCCAGTTGTGCTGCTTATTGATAACTTCATCCAGGATATGTAAAGTTTATGAACCACTTTTTAGTTAAAAATTGGTCTTCTAGTTCTTTTTCAACACACATGAATCCGTCAGAGAACAAAAAACCTTGATTTTGGCATTATTGTCAGAATGGCAAGTTCCCAGTTGTCTTTCAATTAAAAGATTTGATCCAACAAGCATAATCCTCCTCCCAAGAATTTTCATCTTAAATATTTTTTTTTTCGTAAAGGAGTTTCACAAGAAGTAGCATAAGAAATCCAATGAAGAAACAAAATTCCCACATCATACATTTGTTACATTAGGGGATTACTTGATACAAACTAAAGATCTATCAGGGAAAAGAAACTCACAGAATCAACTTGAGGAATCTTATAGAAAGTGAACCACCGGAGTACTTGCTCCCTAAATGTCTTCCCAACATCAATTAGTATGTACTTATGCTCCCCAGCTCTCGGACTATAATCAATCAGAAGAGACGTATTGCACCTACAGAGTATATATTCATAATTCTTATGAGCCACCATTAACATCAAAATAAGCTCAATGGAAACATACTAAGAGACATAATCTCACGCTTAATATTGCTTTCTCTAAGTATGCTTTTCCCAGTCACACTATCAAATGAGATCTTCAGCAATCAGTTTTAGTAAGGGCTTTATTAGCACATACTCCCTCTATTCGGAAAAGGAAGCACAGTCCGATTTTTAAAATCAAAACTTGCACTTTCAGATGATATATGGATTTTGTTATATTTCTGCCACAAATTTTTGTAATTGTAGTATTCATTATAAAATTTCAACGTATTTATAGGTTGAAATTTTATAAGGTTCATTTCCCTTCAGAGCCAAATTTACCTGCACCAGGAAAGGTCAATTTCGAAGCATACTTTCTGATGATGTATAAAAAACAGTCAATTCCACGCTAGTCACTTATTTTAGAAGCATGAGAACAAGAAAAAAGAAGAGCAAAATTAAGATTCTTTTAATGTCAATTTAGGACATTTCACATTTCACTTACAAAGATGCATGGAATATGCAACTAATTAACCACCATGTTTCAGTTTGTAATGCTCCCACTCTCAGGTGATTAGAGTCCATCCTTATTTAAATTTTTCAAAAACTATCATGTCGTAAAATTAATGAAAAAATGAGTTTACCAATCATCGTATTTGTAGTTTTGTTGCAAACTGTTCATTGCACTTGCTAATATGCAAGAACAAAACACCAAAGTATGCAAGCGCAAGCAACTTTAGACAACTTCCAATGGTCTTACAACAAAAGTTACAAAACTGTAGAATATTTTAACCGCTATCATGATATACTTTAATGGTTATTTTGCAATAAAACTATACATACTACTGTTATTTGTTAAAATAGTAATTCATTCTCAAATTTTAAATGTTACACTGATGATTTTATCAAAAGGTCTTCTATTGTACTACCTCAGCCTCAAAAAAGAAAGCGTCAATGTTTGATTTCTGAAATTCATAAATTATATTTCTGGTATTCATTCAAAGTTGGCAAAGATGTTTTTTCTACCTTGTGTCCATAACCATTCTAATTATGATGTAGTTTTCAAGTTTGAAGTTCACAACTAAGTTGCACGGAGTAATACTTTTCTCATAGAGTTACAGTTAACAAAGAGTTTACCGATTTAGAAGCTAAAAATCGATATATTTCTGTCCAAGAGTAAAAAACCAACTCTAATTTTGGGAAGGAATGACAAATGACAACTACTTATGATGTTAATGCAGTCATCGAAACTTTTGCCAAAAGTGCAGGATCCACAACAATCTCGAACGTACAAACTAATCCATTTCAAGCATTGATTTGATGATTTTTATGGAGGCAAATCTACAAAAAGTAAAGGTCATAGATCTACAATGATTCATTGGAGGGAGGAAATGCAACTATAACCTAATATTTACAATTCATGCGAATTGAATACCTGTAATTAGGATTACGTTCAGGTGGAGTCGAGAATGACTGGAAGCAGACTTTACAGGGTGGATCAGAGGGCTGGATCAGGCACATTGCGTTAGGAACGGCACTCGAACATCCAGTACCTAAAAAGATCAATGCTGAATGAGGCTGCTCCCCATTGCCGTTCTCCGTCACGTCAACGCCGACGTCCATAAAAGCTGCCGGAATGAAACTGGAGATTGGAGAATGTGAGAAACTTTGAATGGCGGTGGTCTTGAAAGAAACAGAGGGCTGGTGAAAGAGAGGGGAAATTACCGGCTTGCGACCTCTATGATTATTTCTGGTTGGTAGATCCACACGTCTTCGTGCTTTTGGGTTTTTTTATTGTACATTTCATAAATATAATAAAAACTAATATAATAAATTAACAAAAAATAAGCTATAAATACTTACGTGCACATAAGTTAGTTTATTGAAACACTACTTAAAGTAATATTTTAATGGCTTATTATTCTTTTTTTTCAATTATGACTTTCATTAATATCAATATTAAGTATTATTTATTTTTATTAATTATAAATAAAATTTAAATGTTACTAATATTAGTTATTAACAAATATAAATTGAAAACTAATTATTAATTAATTTTGTTACACATTATACATTAATATTATTTATTAACTAGTGTTTGACATCGCGCGTTGCACGATGACTATAATTTTTTTTTAAATTATTTAAGTTAGCTAAATGAGTCGATGATCACGTTTATATATATGAAACTAGTGTTTGACATCGTGCGTTGCGCGATGACTATAATTTTTTGAAAATTATTTAAGTTAGCTAAATGAGTCGATAATCACGTTTATATATATATGAAATTAATAATAATCAATAATTATTTTGATATATGAATCCACCTTATCATTATTGATTGTTCTTTATATATATATATATATATATATATATATA